CGCTGCACTCTGAGAGCCGCGCACCGGTCCCATTGAACATCCTTACAGTCAACGTCCAGTCTGCTAAAGACGCTCGGGATAACCCCTTTAATCCCTCTGGGCATGCCGCTCGTCGTCAGTACCTTTACGAGCAGATGCAGCGTTCTAAGACCGACATAGTCTGTGTGCAAGAAGCCAGAAGCAAAGCTGGTAGATGGAGCACCGCAGGAGTGCTTTCCTGGAGGTCTGGAGCTTCCAAGGGACAGTATGGTTGCGAGGTGTGGGTTAATCCTAAGGTGGTACAGCCCGGTCTCAGCCTTCAAGACTTTCGCATCTTGTTTGCCTCACCCCGCATCATGTTGATTACCTGCCTCTGCCCTCGCTTCCCTGTCACCATATGTTCTGCCCACGCCCCGCACTCTGACCGTCCCGATCACGAGGCGGAGGAGTTTTGGCGCACCATGGCCAGGGTTCTGCTAGCCACCCCCCCCAGTCGTGGTTTAGTGATAGGGTTGGATGCGAATGGAGACTTCACAGCCGCTGACGACGCCAATTACTTGATCGGTGATCTTTTGGCTGAGCACGACCCGGTTAGAAATGATGGGCTCCTTCTTGCGCTGAGCTTGCAGCTGGGATTGGAAGCACCTGCTATGCAAAGCGAGAAACAGCGCGGTGCATCCTGGACTTGGGAGCACTCCGGTGGTAGGCAAAAGCGACTTGACCATTTGCTCTTCCGACCCGGAACCCTGGTCCCATGCCTTTTGCTCGCAGGCACTTGACTTTGACGTGGCCACCGCGTGTCGCGACCACATAGCCGTCAGGGTCAGCTCTTCACTCCTGGTGCCTCGCAGCTCACCTCCTAAGCAACGGGCAAGAGTATGTCAGCCAGCTGACGTCATTGCTCATGGCCGGCGGCTATGGAGCGCTGTCCGTAGCCAGGAAGGGGCTGGCATTGATCCAGGGACTCAAGTCGCCAGTCTCCTCCAGCGATACTCGGAGTGGGTTGCCTCACTACCACGGCGTGCTCCTGTGGTGCCTCGGCAGCCTTATGTTACTCTGCGTACTGTTGCTGTCTTGCAGCACCTGCGCGATTGGCGTGCGCATTTACGGCATGTGAAGCATCAGCGCAGCTGGGCGCTCGCCAGAGCTTGTTTCTTCACCTGGGCCAAAGTGGGTCTCTCCACGCACCGGCTGCAGGTGCACCACCTCTCCCTTCATGTTGCGGCTCTAGAGCTCCAGGTCGATTGTCTGGCGAGTCAGGCACATAATCTTGCTCGCGCGGACAAGTTGCGGCACTTCCTAGCCCTCACCCGTGACGCCGCACATACTTGGCATACTACGGGGAAGCCAGCTGAGGCCATCGTCAGATTGCGTTGGGCTTCGCGTCGGAGTACAGAAAGAAGAGCAGTCCATGCTGCCGGAGGATACCAGATCGATGACGATCTGGAAGAACAGTTCCGTGCGCAGGAAGCCGCTTGCATGACCACCCCAGCTCAGCTCCACGACGCCACGCGGCGGTGGTGGCGCGTTGCCCGAGGGGCATGCGTCTCCGCGGTGCCTACGCTTCTCGAGATTGAGGCAGCAGTTCGGAGGCAGGCAGGGGGAAAAGCTCCCGGGCCGGATTCCATCCCCAATGAGGTTTGGAGGCACTTCCCTACCGAGGCGGCGCAGTGGTTCTGGAATGTCTGCAGTCAAATCGCTTTGTGCTCTAGGGAGCCGTTCCAGTTCAAAAGGGCATTGGTATGCGCCCTGTACAAAAAGGGGCCGGCTTCAATGCCAAGTAACTATCGCTCGATCGCTCTGCTGAACGGCATGGCGAAGGTTTGGCACGGGCATCTTCGCAAGACCGTTGGCCGCTCCCTCCTGACAAGATATGCCCCTCTTCAGCTTGGTGGCCGCCCCGGCATACCAGTTGGCTTTGCAGTAGCCGCCTTCCGTGCTGCGGCTGAGCTCAGCCACGCCAACAACCGTTGCCTTGCTGTCCTATTCGTCGACATCCAGGCGGCTTACTACGAGGCCAGCCGTGCTCTGTTGTTTGAGGGCGATCGGAAACTCGAAATGCCGGATGGAGGACGTCTGGCACATCTGGCACCACTTGTGCAGAGCTTGATCGAGCATGGTGCCCTTGCTCAACTTGGGGTGCCTGCCGATGAGATCGGGTTGCTTCAAGACTGCGTGGCGGTTTCGCATTGGTCCCTGGTCGGTTCTGATAGGGTCTTCGTTGCCACTCGCGGTTCCCGGCCTGGCGATGGATTGGCTGATATCTTGTTCGGGGCCCTGTTCTCTATCGGCCTCCGTCATGTCCACAAAGTCTGCCGTGATGAGGGCTGGGGTCACTGCAGTGGAGGGTCCCTGATTGGCTGCCGTGACACTGCCCTCTCCCTTGGCTGGGCAGACGACCTAGCTGTCCTCACTGATTACGACAGCCCCACTGAACTCCAGCAGGTGTTCCCGCGAGTCGCTGAGGTTGTTCTTTCTACGCTGCGGCTTCTGCGATACCGGGTCAACTTAGGCTCAGGGAAGACTGAGGCCATGTTGCACATACAAGGAGCCCAGGCAAAGCGAGTCCGCGGAGAACTACTGAGCGGAGACGCCTGCCTTCCTTTGCCGGGTGGCGATGTCCTGAGGCTTGCTGCTGAATACCGTTACTTGGGCGTTGTCCAGACTGTCAAGGACACGGGCCGTCGAGACATGGACCTGAACGCGCGCCGAGCACAAACAGCGTGGGCACATGCGAGGGCGCTTATGACCAGCGACACTCTGCCATGGCCTCTCAAGCAGGCCTGGCTAGCAGGCCGGGTGCTACCGGCAGCGTATGCCACGCTGGCTACATGTATAGCTGTCTCGCAGCGAGCTACAGCCCCCTTGCTGCACGCACTCTCTTAAGCTCATGGCGGTACGGTCACCGGCTTACGCGGCCGGTCATGCTCGTTCTGTTAGGAGTCTGTTCTCCAGAAGATGCCCTTGTCGTTGCGCGAGTGCGCTTGACTGCGCAATTGCTCAGTAAGGCTCCCATAGATGTTTGGGAGCTTATTGATGCAGCGTGGAACCGCGCCACACCTTGGTGCTCACTCCTCGCAGATGCCTGCCGTGAGGTTCTGCCAGCGGTCGGGTCCTCCTCGACCGATCGAGAAGTCACTATCTTAAACTTGCGGCGCCAGGTTGGAGGCCTACACCGTGCCTGCAAATACCTTAGCAGGTGGGGAACTCAGCAGCGAGCACTTACCGATCTCTGGCATGAAGTCGCTTGCCCTCGTACCCGAAGAGTTCTCGGTTGCCGGCAGACCATGACTTGCGGCCTGTGTGGATTGGTATTGCCCAGCCACCAAGCCCTGGCAGCACATATCCACCGCAAACACTCAGTTGTCAATCAGCTGACTCGGCTGACAAACGGCACGGTGTGCCTATGGTGCAATACCGAACAGCACTCCACGGACCGCCTTAAATATCACCTGCGGACTACCCCGGGCTGTGTACATGGTCTCAGGGTTGTAGTTGGTGAAAGCTATGAGTACGGCACCGGCACCAAGCGCACAGGCGCGCGTGCCCACCGAGGTCTTCCAGCAATTCGTCTTCCAGGACCTCTGAATGCCACGCCCGCTCAACGCCGAGCTGCTGCGGAGGGCCGAGCTTGTGAGGACGATGCTTTACGGGACGAGCTACAGCGGAAGACTGGTGCTACGTGTGTCTATGATTGGCCTGCTTCGCCCGCCGCCGCCTCCCCCGATGTTGACAACCCTGGAGCGTCAGCTGAGGGTGAGCTTACAGCAACCGCGGCAGCCCCAAGCTCTGTTTCGCGTTGGTTTACTTTGGTGCCTATGTCAGCTGCTGATGCTGCGTTAGCAGATGGCGTCTCCATCCCTTCGCCTTACTGGCCAGGTCTCTTTACCCCTGGCATTGCTTGGCAATTGCCTTCCAGTTGGCACCGATTCTGGAGACTCTGGTCGGCTCTGGAGGCAAACACGCCTTGGCACCGCGATACACGCTCTGCTTTTGGCGTGCTTAGGGCTGCATCTAGCTCTCCTGCAGCACAGGGCCCCTCTTCCGCTCTGAGTGACTTGCTTGCCGCCACAGTTTCCTTTCGGCTAGCCTGCATGAGTGTCGCGGCTGGTGGTCTGCTCTGGATGTACAGCTATCCGAGTAAGGCCGGACGTGATCTGCTTGGTAAACTCTTGCCGAGCGTTGTATTGTACAGTCTTCGTACTTCGGCCGGCCCTATTTTCGCGGCTGTGCACCACCATGTTGCTGCTTCTCCTTGGAAAGAGCATCTCTTCCGTGTTTGCAGCCCGTATCCTACGCCAAAGGCCTGTTCTCCTCTTCGAGCGACCTTTGTGTATAGCACCAGGTCGCCGAACCGCGACTAAGTCGTGCTGTTCGCCCTGGTTCTTCCGTCTCCGCTTTTCTGTCTAGGACGGCTGTGAGTGCATAGCGCACTCATTTTTGGCCTGCATGCTGTAGACGCTCCGGACATCCGCATCGCGAGTGAGTGAGTGAGTGAGTGAGAGTTTAGGGGTTAGGGCCTTAGGGTTTAGGGTTTGGGATTTAGGGCTTAGGGTTTGGGATTTAGGTTTAGGGTTTAGGGTTTGGATTTAGGGTTTAGGGTTTAGGGTTTAGCTTGCCACCGTAGATAGGGTTTAGGGTGCCGGTACAACGCTGGGTTTAGGGTGTGGGGATGAGTTTAGGCTTCGTGGCGAATGGCGTCAAGTGTAGGGGGTTGGGGCGTAAGGCAGAGGCTTGGAGAATCCTGCACTTGGGTCTAGGGTCTAGGGTTGAGGGCTTATAGGGTTTAGAACTTTGGGTGTAAGGCTCAGGGCTTAGGGGTCCTTTGGCTTTTTACAGGCCCCTCGCCAGCTTCCAGAACCCTGGGCAACCCTAAACCCGGCTAAACCCCAAACCCAATAGCGACTTCAGGAATACGGGGCTCCAAAACAAGGATTCCGGGCTCCAAAATTTGACCTTAATCCTAAAAGACGGAAGCCCAAGGACGCGCTAGGACCGTACGTTCCGACTGAGTCCAATGCGAAGTTGGCGAGATCATGAGGAGTCAGCCAGGTGCCAAGGCCAAGCAGAACTGGCAACCTACCGGGGACCACTCTAGACCCTAAACCCCAATTCCTTAACCCCAAATCCTAAACCCGAAACCC